TATTTTCCAATTTTCAGAGTATTTTCATTTATCATAAACATTATTTCTAATTCTAAATTTTTCCTAAGAACTTTCTTTTTATCAAAATTGTTCACCTATGCTCATATGCTTTAGTTTCTGGGGTAAACATATTAGAGACAGTTTTGACTGATTAGCATGGGACAAGAAAAGAGTGCACTACATTTATAAGGGATATTACGTCAAGTTATCTAGATTACAAAGAGTGAATGAAGGAAGTAATGTGAAATAAAGCTAGGAAGCAGTTTGGGGCCCAACTCTGGAGGAACATAAACGCCAGGCTTAGGAGTTTGTACTTTATTGTCCTTGAGACAATAGGAAGCCCTTAAAAATATTTGAGCAGGAAAATGAAGTAATTTTTAAAAAATTATCTTATGTGCTTCTGGAAGATGGATTGGAAAGAGTTAAGACCAAAGTCTTAACTAAAGATGGGGGAAAAAATACAAGTAGAAAGAGGTTACAATATGACAAGAGGCAAGAGGTGATGAGGTGATCAGAGTGGTGGCAGTATGGGGAGTGTCAGGATCCCCATCCCAAGACCACCCCCTCTCTTTTTACTATTAGAAGATACCCTGTTTTCCAGAGCTGAGGTCCTGCAAGCAAGCTGTGCCCTGAGCTTGGCATAACAATAGTCCTTTGAGGTAACCTTCTGGATGAACTTACTGCAGCAAGATGCCAGAATTGTTTCATACCAGCCCCAGGTGGTTCCTGAGCTCAGACAATCACCTGAAGGACACAATGTTCTGGGTCATGAAGTCCTGCTATGAATCAAACTTGTCTCCTTGTTGCTGTTACCGTTCATTGTCAGGGTTACAGCTCACTGCATAATCACTGCTATATGTATTGAGATTTGCCCTAAATCTCAGTGCCCTGCACTAAAGCAGGTCTCCTCAGTAAAAGAAGAGGCCCCAGCACGTGTGTCTAGCATCCCTCTTGCAATGGAATAAAGAAAACTTTTTCTATATAACTGCTGTTGGCCCTATTTTATTTTGTTTTTATTTTATTTCTTAACAGTGATTGTGATAACTTGTGTGAGCTCTTTGATATTTTCTGAGTTAACTATGATTGTGATAACTGATGTGAGCTCTCTGATATTTTATTTTATTGAGTTGGCAGCAGTTGCATAATCTCTGTGATTCTTCAGTCATTTATTTTCATGGTCAACAGGAGAAAGGGACCAATGGAAGAAAAACAAGCCTTGACAATTAATTGGGATATGGAAGTGAAGGATAGGATTAGGAGAAGAAAAGAAAAGATCACTCCAAGGTTTCAAACTGGAAAGATGGTGGTGCCTTTGCTAGAAATTGTGAAGCAGAGACAGGTTTGGGAAATGGGAAAGTTAATGAATTCATTTTTGGACAAGTTGAGCAACCCTGAGGTGCCACATGATACACATATGTATGTTGCAGTCACCAACCCAGGGGAGTTGAGATTTCCATGATAGAGAGAAAATGAAGTTGTACAGGACCTTTCTACAGTAATATAATCCTATAAATTGTTCTGGTTCTGCTTACTTCACTCTGCATCAATTCATATGTCTTCTCATATTTCTGTCCCTTTTCTTACTTCTTAAAATATTCCATTAATTCACATATCATAATTTGCTCATCCAATTCAGGAGATATCTTAGTTTCTTATTCTTTGCAACTGAGATCAAATTAATATTACCACAAATTTCTACTCTACTGATTCCATGCTCTACTGATTTTTTATAACTTGAGTCTACATCTGCCTAAAGCCTCCTTTCTATGTCCTTGAATTGAGCTCAGGAATTTAGCTTTCTCTCTAAGTTGTTTAAAGTTATAATTGATGAGAAAAACTGTTATCTACCATACCTTCAGCTCCTGGGAAGTGTTTGTTAACTTTAAAGGCCTACAAGCTGATCTGGTATAGTTCCAAAAGGTATACTGTCAGTCCTTGCCAGTTCTTGTACAATTAAGGAGGATCTTATCTCCCTAGCAAACCCCCCCCAGGAGCCAGCAAGTCTGCTATCCCTGGTCCACCAACCATGTCCTTAGAATGCAGATGAATCCCATAATTCAGTCAATCATTCCTTAATAACAGAGAGGGGTGGTTACCAGCCCCAAGATGCTAGCCTGCTTTCCTTTACCATTCATGTTGTCCCCATTCCCATGATGCAGTCTAACCTGTAACTAATCGAATTGTTTTCCCCACCCACCCAATTCTATTCTTTGTTCTCTTGTACTTCCCAAAACTATATGAAGACCAGTAAGCTCCGAGCAGTAGATAGAGCACTGGCCCTGAATCCAGGAGTACCTGAGTTCAAATCCGGCCTCAGACACATAACACGTCCTAGCTGTGTGACCTTGGGCAAGTCACTTAATCCCATTGCCTAACCAAAAAAAAAAAAAAAAGACTAGTAAGCTCCACCTCATGGTAATAAATCGGTCATGCTCAGAACCTCGTCTTTCATTTTACCTCAACTGTCAAATGTGACACTATAATAAAAAGTGTTGCTATCAATATCTTTGTATATATGAGTCTTGAATCTTTGTGATATATGCCTAGTACACAGAGTGTGACTTTTTGGGTACAGTTCCACATTGCTTTCCAAAATGCACCAATTCATAGATCCACCAACAGTGAATTAGTGTTCCTGTCCTCTCATTAATCATCTTTTCCAATCTGATGATGGGTATAAGGTGGAACCTCAGAACTGTTTTAGTTTTTATCTCTCTCATTACAAACAATTTGAAACATTTTCATATGACTGCTGAAAATCTTCTTTTCTTTTAAAGACTGCCTGTTGTGACTCCCAGGAGTCACTTTTCATAGTGATTCTTGTCCACACTTACCTAATTCATTCAGCAAATATGTATTAAGTACCTACTATGTAATGTGTTAGGCACTGGGAAAAATACAAAGTGTTGATAAGACATATTCCCTGCTCTCAGACATGACACAAATGGCTATAATATGTACTATATAGGCACATTCAAACCTTCACAAAAGCCCAGCTTTATTGTGGTAATAGGAGGGGCGGCTAGCAGGCAGTCCTGGAGAAAGACCGATGTCCAAACACCAGCCTGAAGTGGTGGAAAAAGAGAGTCATGGGATTTTGAATTTAGACCCAGAAGAGACTTTGGGCCAACTCTATCATTTTCCAGATGAGAAAACTGCCATTGCCCAAGGTCACACAGGTAGGATTTGAACCCAAGTCTTCCAACTCTAAATCCAGTATTCTTTCCACATTCCCACAGTGCCTTAGAAACAAGGCCATGGTTCCAGCCAGAAATATACTAGGTCAGAGCTGTAACTAGTATGGAACAAAGCATTTTGCCCTATAGTGCTCAAATGGGAAAGCAAACTTCCCCTAGTGACAACTGTCACCCAAAGGTGTCACCTAGCAGTCTGCAAAGGGCAGCATAACCGTCCCAGGGATAAGTTAAAGAGTAAGTCACAAAACAAAATGCTATATGAGATGTGAGGGGAATGGCCACTGCTGGCTGGGAGTTAGGAACCAGAAGGGAGATCAAAAAGGGTTTCCTCACAGGAAGCACTTGAGGTTTAAAGGATTAAGCAGGAACTATACCAGCAAAGACGAGATGGGAAAGTGCTTCAGGAATATGAAACTATATGAAGACAAGACACTTGAAAGCAATTTGTGTTGGAGAGGCAGGATTACCCAAATAAACTGGAATACAAGCTGGGTGGAAAGGATAGTTCACTCATCTGTAAAATGAAGAAGGAGGGGACATCTGTCCCACCTACCTCCTGTGGTTGCTATGAGGATCTGGCTAAAACATATTAAAACACTTCGCAAACTTTAAATGCCATTTATTGTTATTGCAGAGTGAGGTAGATACATTATTCGTGCGCCTCCCTTGCCTTTGAGTCAGGAAGATCTTGGTTCATATTCTGTTTCTGATGCTAGCTATGGGAAAATGTCATGTTAAAGTATAATGCAAATGTCTTTTTTATGGTTGTTACGATTGAGGTGGTTACAATGTTATTAATGTTGGTTAGTTTTGTCTTCCCAACTCCCTAGATTATAAATTCATTTAGAGCAAGGACCAAATCTTATACTACTTTTTTTTTTAAGTATCTGAGGCAGTATTTTATTCTATTTTATTTTGTGAGGCAATTGGGGCTAAGTGACTTGCCCAGAGTCACACAGCTAGTGAGTGTTAAGTGTCGGAGGTTACATTTGAACTCAGGTTCTCCTGACTCCAAGGCTAGTGCTCTATCCACTATGCCACCTACCTGTCCCCAAATCTTACATTTCTATATCCCTAAAGCACCTAGCCTAGCACTTTTTGGGGTGTATAGGCAGATATTTAACTGGTTACATAAAACAGAAGACACATTCTCTCTCCTTTCCATGAATTTCCAATGCATCAAGTTCTGCCCTTTGTACTTGTGAATATATTAGTAATTGCAACATCTTTTTGTCATTACCCCTATACTACTTCCTTTAGGCAATCGATAAGCATTTATTAATGACCTAGGATGTGCCTAGCACTGTGCCAGGGATACAAAGACAAAATTCTGCCCTTAAGAAGATTACATTGGGGCAGCTTGGTGGTGCCGTGGATAGAGCACCGGCCCTGGAGTCAAGAGGACCTGAGTTCAAATATGCTCTCAAACACTTGACACTTAGTAACTGTGTGACCCTGGGCAAATCACTTAACCCAATTGCCTCACCAAAAAGAAAAAAAAAAACAACCAACAAGATGACATTCTAGAAGGGGAGAATGTTCAGTATATACACAAAGAGCAGAAGTAGGAAAGCAACTTACACAATAACAACATTATAAAGAAAAACAACTTTAAAAACCTCAATATCTTTAATCAATGCCATGGCCAACCACGATTCCAAAGGGCTGATGATGAAGCAGGTTACCCCTCAATGCGGAACAAAACATACGTTTTGGGACTCGGTCGGCATGGAAATTTGTTCTGCTAGAGTATACATACTAATACAAGGACTGTGTGTTTCTTTTTTTCTCCCACCAACTCAGGGAAGTATACGAGGGAGAGGAGAGATTGAGGGAGGAAGGAAAGAGAGAAGGTTACTGAAACATCTTTTACAAAAATGCACCTAAAGCCAGATAGAGTCACGGACAAGCAGGACAGCTTGGAAGATAATTGCTGAATTTGATACAGATTTTAAAAGGAAAGCAAGCTTTCCGTAAGGGAGCTCTGCAGTTTAAGGTACAGTCCTCTTTCAAAAGGAAGCAAACTCGCTGCGAGGAGAGGGGGTTCCTCGACACCAGTATATCAAGCGCTGGGCACAGTGGCCGGCAGGTAGCATGTGCTTAATAAATACTTTGGCTGATGCATATAAAACATCTGTCTTATTTGGTGTTTTTTCAATTCAAAATTGTTTTTAACCACCTAAAACTGCACAGCACCCTGCTCTTCCCCTCCCTGCCCCAGCCCGCAGCCCTCTCCCTTCCCTCACCTTTAAGCACCTGCAGCAGTATATCGATGCCCTCCTGGTAGCACACCAGAGCCTCCTGGTACCGAGAGCCGGAGTCCAGTTCCACCGCCCGCCTCAGGAGCGTGCTGGCCGCCGCCGCGCCGTCGGGATGGAACTCCGAGCCCCGCGCCGCCATCCCCGCCGCGGCTCGCCCATCTGCGGCCCCCTCCTCTCCCCTCCCTGCGGCGGAGCACGCATGCCCGCGGCGTTTCCGGGAGGCGGTCACACGGCCCCCGGGGCGGGGCGGGCGTCAGAGCGCGTCATCCTACGCTGAAGAGTCGTGCCCTCTCGTTTTCGCGGCCCGCGTCCTCTACGGCGCCGGGCCGGGGCTTCCTGGGGAGCTTGTTGGCCGTGGTTTCTTTCAGCCTCCTACAGAAGTAAAGCGGAGGCAGGAACCACAGGCCGCGGCGGCCGGGCGGGGCTGGTGAGTGTGGGATGGGTGGAGAGGCCCCCCGACACTCCTCTCACTTCCCAGTCGTCCTCAGGCCCTTGGACCGGGGGCGGGGGGTGAGGGGTGAGGGGGCTGGGGACTGCTGGAGGGGATTCTTCGGGAGCTGACTTTGTTCCGCCTTGGCCTGGAAGCCTGGGAAACCACTGCGGCCCTCTCTGTTTTCCTATTGGCCAGGGAGCAGCCAATGGCAGCACTTGAACGTTTTCTTGTGGCCCGGGGGAGGGGGTGGTCACGTGGCCGGGGTTGGGCGCCTGAGGGGAGATGGGGGAGCTGGGCGGCCTCTGGTTATTTTAAGTCACGTCCAGCCCAAAGTGACAAAAGATGACAAAGGCACCGGAGTGGTTTGCCATTTCCTTCTCCAGCTCATATTACAGATGGGGAAACTGAGGCAAACAGGGTGAAGTGACTTGCCCAGGGTCACACAGCTTCTAAGTGTCTGAGGCCAGATTTGAGCTTGGAAGATGACTCATCCTGCCCCCGGGCCGGCCCTCTATGCACTTCTCTGGGTGGCTGGTTAACCATTCCCATTTAAGTCGTTTTTGCTGCAGAGTGATCTTTCGAAAAGCTGTTTGCGGTATTCTGTAATGGATGGTTAACTAAGGGGGCCAGAATAGTGGATTATTTGTTAAAATCAACAGCAGAAAAACACAAAAGTGAGTTTATTCTGTAGTCTTTAATATACTGAGTTAGCTGTCATCCAGAGAAGGCTAAAAGCAGTTATTGGAAGCCTCGATTAGGGCTTACTGGGCTTAAACTTAGATCTCCATGTCTGTTTCGGTCTTTAGTGATAATAAACAAATAATGACATTCAGAAAAGCTTATTGAGCACCGGAACAATTACAATTGATCAGAAATACCAATTTGTTTAGGTTGCATTTTGATCTTTATTGTTTAGATAACATGATCATAACTTGTCCAACAAGTTATCTCCAGGATCAAAATGTTGTTTGGGTTTTAAAACCCATCATAACTTGGCCCTGTACTATCTCTCCATTCTGTATACACTCCATGAATTCTATAATTTAATAACCTTGGGGTATTTACCATTCCTTCTACACACTTCTATCTCCTGACTTTCTTTGCTGACCTCATACCTGGAATGCGCCTCCTCACCTCCAGCTTGGGTTTCTTCAAGATTTAGCTCAAATCACACCTTCTGCGACAGGCCTTTTCTGGTGCCCTCCCACCTGCCTTCCCATTGATATTACTTTGTTTTACATTGTCTGTACATAGTTATTTACAGAGAAAATACTTGACAACTGGCTACACATAGCACCTTTAATTTCTTAGTGGCAGTGTGGTACAGAAAAAACACTACTTTTCGGGGCTGGGAATCTGAAGACTTGTGTATTTGTCTCAGTTCTGCCACTAATTAGTTGTGTGACTTGGGGCCTCATTTCCATCACATGTAAATAAGGAGGATGGATAAACTTTGACATTTTACCATTTGATAATTTTCTGACAAGGTATGACACAAATAAGATTATTGTAAAATTTTTCATGTAAATTTTTTTATACAATACTGTTATAACAAATGCCAGTTTTAGGAAAGGGAAAGTGAGATTGCTAAAAGCTTAAGATGTATATGAAGCTTTCATGTGATAAAGAAAGTGATAGTGTCCCTGATTAATTGATAAAGTTACAAATTATGTCTTGTCTTCTATCATTCAGTTAACAAACATCTAATTAAGCAGCTACCATGTGCCAGGTAATAGGGATACAAAGAATGAAATGATTCCTACTCTAATAGTTTACGTTCTAATAGGGGATAACCACAAATACATAAATATGTTCAGAATAAATATTTTTAAAAATAAACAGTAATTAAAGAAAGTGCCACCATTATTCAAACATTTTTTGAATGTTCATTTCCAATTTTACCAAAGGATTTGGGCTATGACTAATTTTGTCAAAAATTAATTTTACCACATTGATACTTAGCAGTGTGTATTCAGCTCTATGTGAAACCTTCAGAAAATACCAGTGCAGCTCTTGTTTTTATCTTATATGTATAACCAAAATTTTACTGTTATGCTTTTGTGGAATGTTATGTAACTACTAATGGGACAGTATGACCAGTTTCAGATAGTAATTTGTCCCTTGGAATTAGGTGCAGCCTTTTGGACGGTGATATCATCAGTGGTGATACCTAATGGCAGGGATTTTGCGCTTAGTGACCCAGAGCCCTCAAGGTAGAGTACAGGTATGTATTTTTTTAAACAGTTCTCATCGTTTACCCCAGTTGCCTTTCATCTTCTTCCTTCTTCAGCTCTACATAGCTTATTTTTCCACAGAATCTCAGGAGTTGGAAGTTACTTGAAAGGTCATCTAGTCCAAGTCTCACCTGAGCTGGAATCCCCTCTACAAATTTCTCACCAAATGGTCATCCAGCCTGCACTTGAAAGCAACCACTTTTAGACAGCTCTAATCATTAGGAAGTTTTTCTTTAGCCTAAATCTACTTCTCTGCAGATTCCACATATTACTGTTAATTCTACCATCTGAGGAGTGTGTCTGTGGATTGTACCTTAGGCCAAATAAGTTTGCTCTTTTGATCTTGTCTGTTGCCTGTACTTATTTTTACCTGCGTGAGAAAAGTGACTATGTAAATAAATAAGGAGGCAGTGTAGGAAGTGAAATTTGTGAGGGCAAACATCTGATTAGCATATACCCCTAGTCAAGAAAAGGGCATTACAGTGGACATAAATCAACTTTTCATTGACTGTGCATGATTACTGGGAACTGGTAGTGGTGACAGCCCAAAATTTAATGGCTTATTTAAGGAAATGAGATTGGGCAGAAACTCCAAAAGAAAATTAATGAACTGAATGTTTTAAATAGTTTTCTTTGGAGCAGTTGTAGAAAAGGTATTAAAGGCAAACTGCAATTTTCGACTTGTGTTATGATAGAACGGGATATAATCGTACTTAAGAGGAGATTGGGATGAAGCTTTTAGTAATCGTGAGCAAAAGTGGTATAAATTTATGTTTTTAAAAAATTTAGTGACTGGTAGGTTTCTGCATTGTACCAAATACTCAGAAAAAACTAACTCTCTTAAATTCTTCCAGAATGTGACAAAAAGTCTGGAATCTCTTACATCGACTGATTGGATTCGTCATAAATTTACCAAGTCAAGGATTCCAGATGAAGTAAGAGCATTGTTTAAGAGTTTGACCTTATTTTTACCTTCTTAGATTTTTGAAGATTACCAGTTTTTTTAATATCAAAGATTATATGAAATTGCTTGTGAGATATGTGGCAATGTGGTAAATGATATAAATAATGACTATTGTAAAGGTAGAGGTGAAGTAATGCTTGGAATTACTGGTGTTAATAATACACAAGTTTTTCCTTGACCAAACCAATGTTTTATAGCAAGAGGATAAGAAATTGCAATAATAACACTTGGTCTTGGGCCATTTCCTCTCTTTATACTATCTTGGTGATTTCTTCAGCTCTTGTGAACTCAGTTGTCTTTAGGCAGATGAATCCCAAACCTATATATTCAATTGCATTTTCTCTCTTGTACTTAAGTCCTGCATCAGCTGCCTATTGGACATCTCTGTTTGGATATCCTACAGTCATCTCAGACTTGTCTAAAACAACAACCCAAACCCATCCTGAAATTTCTCCATTTTTGTGAATGGTGCTATCATTCCTAAATTCACTCAAGTTCACTACCTTGGCATCAACCTCCACCTCTAACTCAACCCCTATATCCAGTTATCTGCCAAGTCTTATTTTGTTTTTTCCCCAATTACAGCTTAAAACAATTTGAAAACTTTTTTTTTAATTTCGAATTCCAAATTCTGTCCATCCCTCCCTTCTTTCCTTCCACTCTCCCTGAGATGGTAAGCAATCCAATATAGATTATACATGTTGCCAAGTCTTATTGATCTTACTCTCACATCTCTCATCCATGAAATGGGGGTGATAACCATTTTCACAGTGTCTGTTTTTGATAAGTTCTACAAATAAATTTCTGCCATGGCCCCTTGAACAGTTAAACAGTCCCCTAGCTTTCCTCTTAAGTTGAACCATCCTAGATTGTAAGTTCCTAGGAGAAATGTTGATAGTAATAATGATTCCTATTTATGGTTTGCAAAGCACTTTTTTCATAACATCATTTTGATGTAGATAATATGAGTATTAGAACACCAGTTTGGCTAATAAAGAAATAAATTTATTAAAAAGTAAGTGATGGTTCTACAGCTAGTAATTGGTAGAACTAAGAATACTCTTACTTCAAGGAAGAGACCATTTATCATATTAGTGTATCTTAGGTAAATCATTATTAAGCAACTAATTGGCAAATGGAATCAGGTAAACTTGGAGATTTAAAAAATAATCACCATTTCTTCTCGTTCTGAACTCTGGTGTAGTCTAGGCACTTTT